TATATATATATATATATATAAATATATATATATAAGTTGGGACTGGACTTACTGAAGGGCTTGTTGCTTTTTTGCATTTAACGTTTTTAATTTACAAGTTGACCTTTGGGAGGGTCATTGTCATTCTAGAGAGTGTTTGATTGGACAAAAATTTGAATACGCCCCTGAGTGCTCGATGGTGTCATCAGTAGGGATGTAAGGATTAACCGCGAGCCGGTTGAAAATCTATTCGTAGTATATTATTATAGTTATATTTCAATTTCACAAAGAAACATGCTGCATTTTGTCCAAGCAGTAATAAAAGGACACATTTAATTTATAATTTGTCTTAAATCTCATTTTGTTAAAAAATTATAATAATCGTGAATCGAATCGAATCGTGAGTTGAGTGAATCGTTACATCCCTAGTCATCAGTATTCTTTCTCCATTTTCCTGGAAGAGAAAGAGCATGTCAATCAGCTGACTTTTAGAAATAATCTAGCATAAAGATGCTGAGCTCAAAGAGTGTGGAATAAAACCATAAAAGCGTTGGCTTTCTAGCTAATAAACGAATGCATGATGTGACCTCTTTGATTTAGGACACCGCACAAGCGCCGCATGCATTAGTGTTTTGATATAATGCCCTTGTCTGTTCCGCTTCCATATTCAGTGTGTGTGTGTGTGTGTGTGTGTGTGTGTGTGTGTGTGTGTGTGTGTGACTGAGAGATGAGATCTCGCTGCATCGTGCCTGTGTCATCCGGCCCTTTCATTCATGAAAAGTGTGACGTGAGCAGTCGCAGCTCTGCCTCCGCCCACTCAGACGATCTGCTGCTCTCTCTCTCTCTCTCTCTCTCTCTCTCTCTCTCTCTCTCTCTGTCTCTCTCTCTGTCTCTCGGCCGGCTGCTTTCAGCTGTTTCTCTGCTGAAGGAGGATCATGCACGGCAGCGCCGTCAGCTGTGAGTAATCCACCGCAGTGTAGTGTGTACGCTTGTGCATTTCTCTCTTTCATTCCTCCTTCCTGTATGTATGTATTTGTTCTTTTATTTCTTTTATACGTGCTTTCTGATGGGCGTTCGGGGTTGAAGATGACTAGCTTGCGTGTTGGGTGCGTATATGAGCTATATTTGTCTGGTGTTTGATGCGGCACTTCTCTTCTCACTGCCCTCTGCTGAAGGACAGACACACCGCTTCTCACACACACACACACATTCACGCATACATAACTTAATGACTTGTCTCAGGGGAATCGCATGTCGTGCATTTTAACAATGCGTCTCTTTCCATTTCTTTCGTGCTGTCTAGTTTGTCGAGATGAGTCATTTTAGATCACAGTGTCTGTGTGTAAATCACAATATAGTCGTTGCTTAAATTCTACAAAAAATTATATAACCGTATGATAATGCCTGTTTAAATGCATCCTAAATTCAGTTCTCTCTTTCTGTTTGATGCTTGATGGATGTGAGCCAAAAACTAAATAAAGAAACGCATCCGTCTGACTCATAATTCACCTTCTGTATCAGTGTTTTCAGTTGTGACAGTAATGCTTGAAAACTGTAGATAATGTAATAACTTGACATCTTCCTCATATTGACTGTCACAATAGCAGCATTTCAGTAGTCGGTACCCATACCAGTAAAATGTCATGGTTCTTGGAACCAATTTGGGTGCCATAGGAAAAACTGTTTGAACTATTTAAATGTTTAACTATTTTAACTGTGAAAATAATACAAATAAATTAGTTAATTATTAATGCTAATAATATTATTAAATTTATATTATGTTGTGTATTGTATTATATTGCATTATATTATAATATTATATTATATTATAAGTTATATTATAATTTTAAACTGTTTTAAACTATTTTATTTAACTGTGAAAATAATTTTTTTATAAATAAATGAGTTAATAATTAATGCTAATAATAGTTATAACTAAATAATATTATTATATTTATATTGTATTGTATTGCATTATATATAATAAGTTATATTATAACTTTAAACTTTTTAACCATTTTATTTAACTATATGAAGAAAAAAAAAGATAAATTAAGAGTTAATTAATAGTTATAATTGAATGTATATATGTGTATAACTTTAAATCTAATATTAAATTAATATTAAATATTAAAATTAAATAGTTAATATGTATATTTTGAGTTAATAGTTGTAAGTAAATAATATTTATTATATTCTTATTGTCATACACTGAATTTTTTAAAGCAATTTTCACTGAGAAATTGCTAGTAAATTTCAGAAATAATTACAAAGAAAGCAAGCAAGCAACATTAAATTAAACATGCAATTTTTTTACAGTGTACAACCCATTGGTATATTTATCTATTGTTTCAGTGATGTTTTTCTGTTTTATTGTCAAATGTCGTCCATCTGTTTTCCAGCTGGAGTAGAGAAGAGCAGCTCCGTTTGGTTCTAAGCACATGTTTATATAAGCTCATGCTGGCCTCCAGAGCTTTAAAACACAGAGACAGAGCGTCAGTTTAATACAAGAGCTTCTTCAGCCGTTGTAAAGAAGGAATATAACGCATATAGTGTGCTGTGTGTGTCCACAGCAGCTAATGGAAGTGCCAATGTAAAGTATTGATCATGTGTCAGAGCTGTAAATGTGTGGTGGAAGACGAGAGAAAAGAGCTGGAAGATCCTGTAATCTTGAGTCGTGTCATTGTAGTGTGTGTGTGTGTGTGTGTGTGTGTGAGGGTCAGTCTGCTGTAACATGCATCATCGTGTGTGTGTGTGTGTGCATGTGCGTGTGTGTGTGTGTGTGTGAGGGTCAGTCTGCTGTAACATGCATCATCGTGTGTGTGTGTGTGTGCATGTGCGTGTGTGTGTGTGTGTGTGAGGGTCAGTCTGCTGTAACATGCATCATCG